GTCGAATGGATATAACTGTAAAGGAATTCCCAAAAGCCTGAGTATGATGTGGTGGAGTTCTTAGAAGTAATCGTGTCACGGTTGAAACACGAATGGGACAGAGGTACCTAAGCAATCAACTTTTGTACAAAGTCTCCCTCCCTTATGCTTGCATGGCCGTATTTCAGTTGAAGGATGAAATATAGTACAGAAAATATAAGGTACGGAGATAAAGTGTCTTAAACCTCAGGAATAGTAATATAACTACCATATATATGACTACCATAAGAAAGAGAAAATAACGTAAGTATCTTGTTTATATAGAAACGAAGCCTATTTCTAATAAACTAGTCATGATTACAAAACGCTGTTTATTGGTTACAACTTTTAGTTCCTATTAATACCAAATTGGGTCTATTTTGTTGACCAGCACGCAGACCTTTCTAGAAATCATAGTGGTCTTATTTCTAAACCAACTAATCTCACTTCATCCTCATTTATCATCCATCTTGGTGCTATGACAGCGTAAATAACACAGGTGGGGTACCAATTTATTTTCTTTCACTATAACCACTTCGATAATATTTTTAAAATTCTATCAATCATATTATCCTTTTAACCATTTCGGATAAAATCCCATATAGGAGGATATCGGAATTTAGGTGGAGTCTTTTGAGCCCATTTTATCCTATATACGTAAGTAACAATTGCCACTTTCTAGGCAGTTGAGTCATCAGTTTGTTTTCACTCATAGTATCTATAAAATAAATTGCAAAATCGATTGGAAAAATTATGATAGAAAATTCCATTCTTATTCCATTATAAGAAATTAGCTGTTTTCCGCGAGGTTACTATTCCATATTCACTTATAAATGATTATGCTTAAAGTAAATAGTTGGTCCGCCGGCTCTCCATTTCTTTAAACTTTTATTTAAAGTTCAAACCTCCGTTAAATCCTACTTTCTCTCTCTTTAGTACTGTTTTCCTGAGTTCCTTCTTAGTTATCCTCCTCCATTCTCTTTTATTTTATGTATATTATTAAGTATATGTATGTTTATGTGTATATAAGTTTGTATATATTAGTATGTATATAATAGTATGCCGCCTACACTTTGTCTTTTGTCTCAATGTCCTCTATCCAAAGGTTATCTGAAAGAGATTGCTTAGCGATAAGGCCACATTTCATATCACTTTTCATTAAAATTTACTATATTTATTATTTTTAACTGGTGCAATAAAGTGTAAGTAAATAAATAAATAACATTTCAGTTTCATATCCCAACGAAATACTTATTGTAAGGACCAATATAAAAGAAAATCTAACTTATTTATGTACAAGAAACATGGTAATAGATTAGTTTAGTTTATGATGGTCCATAAAATAGTAATTTCGCGTAACTATTAAATAAAAAAAATATTTTAAGAGATAAATTTAAAGGAATATCGCCTCAGAATCGGGCCTAATATAGCGATCGTCTGTGTAAATCTTAAATGATTAATGGAAGAATTTTTTATACAATCTAGAATGGTGAACAAGCTAATGTCCCACCTAATGGAAAGTGGTAACCGTTGCCTATAGACACGAACAGCACCACGAACATCACAGAACACACTGATATGCATATGGTACCTCACATGCGTCCTTTTGAATGTAATTTTTTAAAATACCGGCAGCACACCTCAATGCCGTTGGTCTTGTGGGTGATCATGGGCGGTGGTAGTCACTTACCATCAGGTGAGTCGCATGCTCGTTTGTCCCCGTGTTGTAAAAAAAATTGCTACATAGACTACGTCATAATTTATAACACGAGACATTATTTTCCCTTATTCCCTTTAAAAATGTTTGGTACAAAAGGCGGACTTAATGCGTTATATTATAGCATTATATACTCTCCCAATTAACGTTTGCAAAACATAAATGTAATTTTTACGGGTAAAGCCGCGGTATATACAAAATATATTCGATCTTCATTTGTTACTTTCATTAGGCGTACAATATTGATAGTATCTACAGATCCGAGTCGGAGGAAGGCTCATTAGTGATTTTCCTTCTATTTTTTGTCTGTCCAGTCTTTTTCTGCCACAGTGTTAACAAAGGTAAGTCCGTTTTTATTTTCTGGGAAACTTTATATTATTCTTTAATAATACACGCGGCTTTCTCCCTTATGGATTAGGATAAAAGAATTCTGTATGTTAATCTGGCTGACTTGTTCATTATATTTCATGCAAATCCATTCAGTTATATGTAAAATTTATAACATAAAAATATAACATAATGACTAATTATTTATTCTTACGGTATTATATTTTCATAAATATAATTGTTCCATTCTTTGGCCATACGCATAATGAAGGAAGACGCAAAGCGCTTCGTGCATATAAATGGTATGTTTACAACATAAGGGTGAAGGCTTACATCGTCGCACAGTCTCACGGTCGTCCGATGCCGAAAGTTGAATTGCTAGTACACACAACCTGATAATTTATGTAATTATAACGATATTTTCCTTTTATTCTTCTTTTATTTCCCATCAAAGACATGGAACTATGAGCCTTTTCTGTATGGAAAAGACTTTCATTTATAATGATCTTGTATGACGAGTACATTAATTTCAGTTTAACAAATTTACTTTCTTTCATCTTAATTAATAATATATTTCATCATCATTATTACCATCACATCAGCTGTTATCTGTCAACTGCTGAACATAGGCCTCTCCACAAACTGCCATAAGGAACGGTCCTGAGCCACCTGCAATCACTGATTTCCTGCAATGCAATGAGGTCGTCATTCTATCTAGTAGGGGGGTCGTCGTACACTGTATTTGCCCATACAGGGTCGCCACTCAAGAATCGTTATTCCCCATTGGTTATCGGTTCTTTGAACTATAAGACCACTCCATTGCCACTTCAGCGTTCACATCTATATTTAACATTACACAATTAAATTTTAATAGGTCGATTTGATCCAATCTGTGCTTAATGTAAAGCTGCCCACACAAATAATTAGCAAGTATAATTTAATACATTTCAATTTCTATTAAAATACCTCAACATAGTACGTTCGCCCTTCGACCGCCCGAACGAAAACCTAACACCTTTAATTTACCCCAAATCTCTTTTAATTTCAAACGGCACGTCCCCTTTATGCAGCGCCACGCTCCGGTTTTATTAGTTAGATTAATATTTTAACACATGGCGAACCCAGAAACTGTCACCTTTATTCACAACGAAATAATGAGCAGAGTTACCTCACTTTGGAACAGCTGTGTCATTGTATCTGTCACGTACAATTCATGCTACGTCTAAAGAGTTCCGCGAACGTACAATTGTCAGTCTTACGACTTTAATGTTACAGTTCAAATGCAATAAAATTTGCGAGCGTATAGTTACAAAAATATATTTGTAGAGCAGATGTTACGCCCGCATTTGTAACGATTTCAATTTTTTTTTGTATTGTTGTGTTATTGTACGCGTTATTTATCTTTTTCGTAGCCATTTGTTCTCATTTGCGACTGTTATAATGCCACTTACTGTGTCATGTCACTGTCATTAAACTGGTATGCCATATATAATACAGGGCTGATTATACCATAATGTTTATTAAAGCTGAGTTTTTGTGCTTAGTCTTTTATAAAGGTACATAAAACATTTTACGGCGACAAGTACGACAACCTATTTCTGGTGGCCTTATTTTAACAAATGGTTCAGCAGTGACTCGGCACCTCCATCAAATTTTTCCGAATTTATTACACGGAGGCTTTGTAATGAGCGATGACGCAATTTGGAGCTTTTGACGACGATTGATGGGCGAAATTCTAATAAAATTGTATTAAATAGCAGACAATGGGCTCTTCAATATAGTTCTTGATAAATATTCAGAAACGACGAGAACATTTTTTTTAATTGAAGAGACGATGACTTAATAGAATATTATTAAAAGCGATTGGTAACAAAAGTAAAACGAATTGTGAAAATTTACGACTTGATCTTAAAATCAAATATACAAGAAATTAATTTGATTTGCCTAGCGTTAATTGAAATAAAATAGTTTTCCAACCAAGTACAAAAGGTAAGTAAACTTTAAATTAAACTATATTTTTTATCTGTAAAATTATTTACATTAATTTTGCAAACAATGATTTTTTTTCATACAAGAAGGCTTTAAAAATAATCGTCGTATGAAATAAGAACTCATGCTAATTTTGTCGAAGTTGGTTTTGTCTTTGTTGAACAAATATGCAATAATTATGGACGAACTTGTAAATACACAAAAAATATTTGGTATTTTTTTTAAATTTTTACCCACATTAAGTTGCTCTATTACAGGTATAATCTTTATTATATTTATTTTAACATAATTAACTTTAATAAGGTAAAATTTCTCAATTCGACTGAGTTAAGATAAAAATGTTTGCCAAATTTAAAATTTGAGACTAAATCTTAAGTTATTCTAAACTGTTTTAAATCTATGTAATTGTTCAAAATAAAGCCTTAATCCCTTTGTAATAAAACACAGATTGTTTACAATAATGGAGTCCGTCATTATTATTTTTCTCCTACCTTAGTTTAACGAAAAAAAAAGGTACCGACTGAATGGAGACGTGTGCGCGGACGCTTGCTCCTGTAAAATAAATGTAATTTGTGTGTTTCAAACTGTATGTGCCCTGAAGGACCTGTAAGAATTTGTGTGTACGTGCATATAGGAGTTGAGGAAGAACTGCCGATCAGCTACAGCAGAACAATTTACGAAGCTGATTTCAGGTTAGTCCTCCTCAACAGACAGGATTCTAAAACACGCTTCCACTGCGTGTTTTACCTTAAACAGTAATAATTTACATACATGCATATCTGCCACACTTCTCTCTCACAGGTTAACCTATCTTAGGATAGTGTATGCCGTTTTTCCTTTATTACATTTTTATATACTTACAAATATCGACTGTTAACAATAAATAAAACAAGTGATTAATTTAAAAAAAAAACTTTTTTATTTTTAAAACAATCTGTACTTACGAGTACAATAAAATTTACCTAGCGTCGTTTTCTTCAACAATGAAAAATTACAATGCTCTTTTATATTATGTAAAACTTGACACAGATGATTGAATGTAATTAGTTATCTATTATCTACTTAAAAAGTCCACTGAAAACATTAGATGGTACATTACTAATGCTGTAATAAGCTGTAAATTATCTGTGGATGAAGAACAATCAAGAAGCACAATAATAATTCTTAATACTGCATCTGATATATATTTGATATATAAGATTTATTGTGACATCTGTTTGATATTTTTAATAAATAAAATTATAAACATTTTTTTACACATATATAATATATATAATACATAATGATTATAGTTTTAAAAGAGTTTATTACGGACAGTATAGGATTTATTACTTTCACTTTAGATGTTTGGTCTCTCATTATAATTTTAATATATAATGTGGTGGTTATGGAAAATTAAACTCTAAAGCCAAACTAATTAAATATAAAAGTCGCAACCTATTTTCGATTAAAACAAATATTCTAACAGAGTATAATGTTTGTATAACAAAGGTTTCATTCTTATACACAAGACTATGAATGATTTTAACGAGCTGTATAAAATATTTTTGCCGTGCGGTCCCGGCATAGAAAAGTCCACTCCTTCCTGTCGCGTGGGTGTCTTAAGAGGCGGCTAAGAGAATTTAATGGATGGGCAGCAGTGCGACTATTAAAACATCGCCAAAGCCTAAGTACGGTTGCCAATCTGCCTGCTAAGTGTGACGACTACTGGCAAAACCCCCCCTTATGGAGGAGGCATATGTCCAGCAGTGGACAGTTTACGGCTAATATGTATAAGAAAATAAAAAAAGTATTGATTTTTTTTTTAAATAATGACACATTATCATAGTAAGTTAGGATAATCTTCGTATTTATGAGGCAACCGTGTAATAATTATATAAAACTTAATTACTTTTATGCGAGTAATAACCATTTGAATATTTTACTTTCATCACGTCATTAATTAATGAAAGCCTTAGAGCATATAATAAGGGCTGTTATTAATAGAAGTTCTCCTTTACCGAATACATAATAGGTAACTGGATCCTACTCAAGGTGAAATACTTTGAATTACATAAAATAGTTACAATTTTTCCAAGAATAATACGGTATAATTAATTAATCTCTTTACCTAAATACCTTAATTAATTCCTTATTCATAAAAAAAAAGTTAATTACATGTTTTACTATGGGAAGATGTAACTTTTGAAAATCGAATAGCGGAAAATTTTGCTCAATTTAAGATTGAAAATTATCTATAATAAAAAAAAAAATACTAAAATCAATTTCAAATCTTTGGTTTTAGTTCGTTGGTTATATGTATAAGGTAAGGAAGTATATATTAAATATATTGGCTTAAATGTATGGTATGTCTAAAAAAATAATCGAGATTTTATAAGAGGATAATAGAATCATTTATACATAAATCTGTCTATTTATTATGCTAGTGTTCTTTTAATATGTGTCGCTGCATATCTTTGTGAAATTAAGTTTTTTTTTTACAACACAGGGGGCAAACGAGCATGCGGCTCACCTGATGGTAAGTAACTACCGCCGCCCATGATCACCCACAACACCAACGGCATTGCAGGTGTGCTGCCGGCCTTTTAAAAAGGAATACACTCTTTTCTTGAAGGTTATGTTGTCGTATCCGTTCGGAAATACTGCTGCTGGAAGTTGATTCCAAAGAATGGTTGTGCGTGGAAGAAAGTGCCTTAAAAACGCACGGTGGAAGACCACCACTCGTCCAGATGATTGGGATGAAACTTTAGTTTGTGGCGGGTTGTACGGTAGTCAAAATCAGCAGCAGGTATCAATCCGAACAATTCCTCAGGACACTCCCCATGATAAATTCGGTAGAAGATGCACAGAGATGCAACATCTCTGCGCAGCTTCAATGGGTCAAGTCGGACAGTAAGGCGTTGACTATCAATAATTCGAGCTGCCCGACTTTGAATGCGGTCTAACGGAAGGAGTTGGTACTGTGGCGCTCCTGCCTACAGATGAGGACGGAATTCCATATGCGGCCTGAGCTTTATATAATTTCAGGCGGTGTTCCGGCATGAAATACCGTCTCACCCTATTGAGCACTCCTAACTTTTTGAAGTTACCTCTTAGCGACGTAGCAGACGAACTAATATATATCACTATAAAATTTAGTATGCATATACTATAAGAAAAGAGAAAGAAATAGGCTACTTTTTATCCTGTTATTGTACATACTCCAATCACATGGATGACGTTGCGAGTAAAAGGCTGTTCCGTATAATTTCGAAACTGACTGCGATTATTTTTCTTTTTTTTTTATAATTTAAATATATAATTAATTTTCTAACATAAGTATATACCCCTTATTTGATATGCTCTAAGATGAAATCTTAAGATCTTAATTTAAAAAGTAGTTTTTGTAACATATATAAAATAATTTTCTACACAATGATATTTTTTATTGATATGTTGCAGAAAAACATATAACTGAGCCGTCATTCTGTTATTTATCATAACTAAATATATATTACTGGGTATATATAACATATTTAAGTTGTGGGGTGACAGTGGCCTTTTCTTTAAAATCATCAAGCATACAGCAATTAAAAACAGTATCAAAAATTAGGCATTTAAAAATTTTATCATAATACTTACGATGTAATTACAACTTTCATCTTTGTTTCAATTATATAGAACACAAAATAGTTTGATATCTACATGATGCGTTATTTTTAATATATTACAGAAATATAATAACAGAATTAACTTACAATTTTTACATATATTAATAAATTAGCTACCGAAAATGGCAGTAGCACTAGAGCACATACATAAACTATTAGATTTCTTGGAAAAATTTATATTATTTTTAAGTTATATATTATAATACTACATTATGACGTTTATAATTTTTTGCAAAACTAAAATATGTTTTTGCCACACATATATTTAATTGAAATGATGTTAAAACATATGTTCTTGTTTTTAATAGTAATGTAATATTTATTAAAATGAGCAATATTATTATCACTATATTATTTTAAATATTCGAATAAATCTCATAGTTTTTGTACGTGCTTGCAATATACTACAGGAAAATACAGTAATATTTACATTAATAACACTTTATATCAATTGAGTTTTTTCGTTAATCCTTTTATCATTATAAAGGTAAATGTTACCTTAAATAGACATATTAATTAAAAGCCTGTATTTACAAAACAACAAAAGTAATAATAGAGCTGTTCCCGACTACAAAAGCATTAAATTTATAAAACGAATACATTTGCATTATATGTATAAATATACTATGTTTTTTCCACAAATTAGTACCTTTTAATATTCGTATTCTAACCAGTTTTGACAATTGAACGTATTTTATTTGATTGTAAGCGAGTAGATAAAATTGTAAACTTTTAATAATAACTAAAAATTCATTTACTTAAGATTGTACATTCCTTTTTCAAAAACATCAAAAAGAATGAGGTTCTCAATTCGGTTGTATTTTTTTTTTATGTTTGTTACCTTTTAACTCCGTCAGTTCAAAATCAATTTGGACGATTCTTTTGGAGAATTATTTATCTGAAAGGATAGACTTATAGATTGGTTTCATAGAAATTTTCCCAAAATCGATTTGGTAGTTTAATTTTTAGAACAAAATAACTTGTTTTGTCACAATTAAAGTCGATTTTTTGTAGGATACAATCTTTAATTTATGAACAGTCTTATTTGAGTCATATCTGTGATAGAAAAGAATACTATCAGCTCAAAGAGGGATAAAAAACGTCCATAGTACCTACTCACAAGAAGTGTAGTAGATATTAATACTTATACAAGATAAAAACCTTCCTTCTGTTCTAACCGGTCAGGGACTTAGCGTGAGATAGGTAATTATTTATGAACTACATGTTCTATAAAACTATATAATTATATAGCATTAAATCATCAACACTAAATCAGTGTCAAGTTACTATAATTAAATAAAATTTACGTTGAAAATGTTTTAAAAATGAAAAAAGTTGAAAGATAAAAGAAGGAAAGTAAGTAAAATTTAGCGAGTTTAATTTTTTATATTTCATTCGGAGGTGCATAACTTAAGGTTTTTTTTATTATGCGCTGTTATTTTTCTTTAATTAATGAAAGGGGAATAGCAATCCCGTCTCTGTGTGTAATAAGTTTACACAAGTTTACTCTAGGGAGATATTAGTCTGAGATAATAAGTGAGGTTGGCTTACTGTGGCAAATTCACAAGAAAATAATCATGTTGAACCAGGAATGAACATGTGAAGGTTACTAGATAGACGTCATTAGACCCTCATCATTAATAACCTCCCTTCCCTTCTCCTCTTAATAACTTAATATTGTCTGCGATATTTGACTATGGCGACGTTCGAATCAGGTTAACCGTATGCTTGATTGGCACCATTTTTCTATAATAAAAAATCCGTTATATCATATAATATTCAACTTGACCTTCAAATAATGTCAATACTAATGACACACTCTTCTATCTACGTGTCGAATTCAATGCCTCATTTAAAATAGATTAAGCAGAGGTCGAACTTATTTAAGCTATTTAATACTGCATTGCAGACGAAGCACAAATTTTGTTAATTAATGAGTTTATTAAAAGTAAATTATTCAGTTCTTTAATTTAAGATTTGAGATCATCGTTGCTTAGAAATATTATCCGAACTTACCTCAAGGTCCTATGTTCTAATCCAGCCACCATTAAAAACTTGGATTCGACTGGAGTAAATTGGAAACTATCGTGGTTTATTTCTGATAAACCAGTCCTGATAGACCATCTGACCTGACTTTATCCTCACCTATTACATGCACCCCGTCAGTATATACCAATAGAGCAGGCGAGATCACTATTTCATTTTTATTATATTAAAATGCTCCGAACTACCTAATTCGGGAAGGATTACTGTTGTAAATATATTTTATTTTTTTATTTCTTTTTCGAGAACAAAGGCCAATATATAAAGTGTTATAGCTACTTTTCCTTAGATATACGATGTTAAAATGTTCGAGCCATAAAAAAGATCGTCTGAGGACATTTTGTGGAACTCCAGCTGAATAGAATTGTACATAAAACGAAATAACACGTCCTCTCTTAGAACGTTTGCATAGTATTCATTGTCAATCACCATGGTATTCTTTATACCGGTTTTTTGAGAGATTTCAGAAAAAAAAAGAGTCAAATCCTTTGTATTTTTGTGTGTTTATTACACGATAATAATAAATAATAAGTGTGAAGTAACACAATAACACTAACTTCTCTGAACTTTTAGCTAAGACACTCTAATGTTTAGATCATGCGACAAATATAAATATCTAGAGGCACAATTCAGAACACCCAACCCGAGGCAATTGGGGGGAGAAGAGATTGTTAGTAATGGGGATTAGCAACCCCATTGTTAATAATATACCCTATCAGGTCCACCTCCCCTGAAAACTATTGTAATTGATTTTTAGTTGAATACGTCACGATGGGCTAACTGACTTGCTTCATCCTCCTTATCAGGTTTAACTATGCATATAGGTACTTAACAAAACTAAAGCGATATGAATACTTCTTGTAACTAACTTTTTTATATATATTTTTTTTAATAATTAAAATCAGTAACCATTAACATTGAGAATTTTCTTGTTTTCTTTTTCTGTAATATTTTCGCAGACTTACATTCAATTTCATTAATCCAAAACGGAGTACGGTCAGCAATAAAAGTTAACGAATACTCACGCACTCGTTAGAATAAAAGCCGTAATTAGTAAAATGTGTTCAGCTACTTTCATTTCGAATTATATTTGATTTCTTAAATCATGTACTATAACAATTTTTAAGTATTTCTGGTTTTAATATATAGTGAAACACAGTTTTTCAACAAGTTTTAAAACTGATTTAAACAATTAAAATTGTAATTTTCAAAGAATCACAAAATTTGAAAAACTGTTATCACCATGTTATTACAGAATTTTTTAAAATTATATTTTAAAACTAATATATAAGAGGCAGCAAAGATTGTATCACTTATTTGGAAAACGTATTAAATTGTTTTAAACATTATAAATAAATTAATTAAAATGTTATCTAGTAAAGCCGATATTCCTATTCTTACAGGAATCGTCCTTAAACTTTCATTGCAAACAATTTATCTAATATTTACATACAACCTCAAAAAATGTATTGACAAAATTAATATATAGTTTACATAGCACTGGGCTTGTAAATGTATAAGTATTGTAAACATTTCCTTACCATATCTATGTACAAACATGTTTTTGTGGCAATAATTATAGCTTGATACACTAACTAAATAGAGTCGTCGTCAACGAACATTACCATTATGTAGTAGGAAAAAGCTCTGAAAACTTAGTGGCTCTATTAATTGGTAAGAAATATATTGTCAATATGTTCCACCGGAATCATTGCTTCAAGAAACATCGGTACAATCTATACTATTTACAGTCTTCACATTTTTTTTCCTTATTCTAAAAAATACTAGGCATTCAATGTCTATAACTTTAGTCTCGTGTCGTTTTGTCGGTCCTCCATATCTTTTAGGAAATGTAGCCTCTCTTGTCGAAATCTGTTAAAAGTAATACGATTATAAACCTAAATTCATAATGTCGATTAGGTCTATTTTACAATTTAATTATAGTATTTAAAATAATAACAATAATTATTGATATTATTACAAAAACACTTCACACTATTCTTTAACAACATAATAAAGAACTAATTGTGTTTATTGCTAAACACAAAGACATGTAAAAACGTTACAGCGTTGTTGTAAAATAGATCAAATCAACATGCAATTATCATAAAATAAAATAGGTAAAGATTTAAATTTTAAAATTGAATATCAACGTCATTAATTAAAATCTTTCTTAATAAATAGGATCAATCATATATTTTATATTATATTAAAAAAAATATTGTACTAAAAAATCAATAATAAATTAACAAATAGCAACAATTATTGAATATCGTATAAAATTTACATCTATATATACATATATCAATATATATATATTTTGAGATGTAAATTTTATACGCGGATTTTAAATTCAAGTATTCAATTCAAAAGCACATTATAGCGATAGTATAGAGTTTGACCAGCCCCGTCCGTTTTTCAACAGCTCTCACTAATTGCAGTTTAGATTAGTTTTGGCCCAGAACATTTATTTGGGTCACTACATCCGTTAAATTGTTTTCTCTAATAAAACAGGAGCATTTACGGAATGAATTTATAATGAAACAGAAATAATTACATGTTTTTTTAAAAAAAACATACATTTTTTTTGGAAAAAAAATATAATTAATTTATACGATAATAAAGAGTATTAATACCATATAATTTAATTTCTATTGTTACTTTTTTATTATAGAACTTTTCCTCTTTGCTTAAGATTTCGTCAATTCCAAATATTTAAAAAAAATGTAGCTAACATATTTAAATATATTTTGGACTAGGGCTTTTCACTTACCCCTAAGGGACCTAACTTGAAGATATAAACAGAGGATACTTACTTTGATCGTTTTTTTCTTCTAACTGTATCCACTGGTGTAGCTTCGATGCATAGTACTATCAGTCTACTGCTGCAGGAATATCTAAAAATTAAAAGCATTTTAAAAAATCTATCAACAAAAATAAATCGAAGGACACATTTACGTTGTAATTTTTACTCGCATACATTACGTAGATATCATAAGTCAATTAACCGATCGATTAATGATACTTCAGATAAGTATCGGAAATTAATTAAATCGTCGATCGATTAACGACAAATTACAAGGGTGTTTTACATTCATAAATTTATTTTAAATATTTCTTTTTTATATAACCTATTATTAACTCATTAGTGTAAAGGCGTTTTTAGCATCCATAAAAGCATAATATTGTTTTACTAGAACTCAATAAAAATCTAAACAAACGAACAAATAACCCGATCATAAATCATAATAATAAAACTATTGTATATCAGCAACTTGATATCGAATTGAAAATCGATTAATTCATTGAACATTTCGATTTTTTACTAACTTCGTTTAGCCAATATTCGTGTGATAATTTCGACAAACCTTGGTTATATTTTCATTAAGTTCTATTAGAACAGACAGATTTTTGTCCACATACAATAAAATTCCTCGAAATTGTAAACGTCAGATCTACATGTCTCACGCCATGTAATTCTATATTCGAGGTGCGATATATAAATATGTCACATACATGTTCTTGTAGAGATAAAGAAATGGCGCAATTTTCGACGTACCTATGTACATATATACGAGTTTTCATCGAAAAATAAGTGGATATCGGCAATCGAATATTACGAGTACCATGACAGTTTAGATATTTAGATATTTTTATATGCTATAAATTGGTAGAGACAGCGTAATGATATAAGTAAGTAGATCACAGAAAGACACTTTATTGTAAATAAAAAAAACTGAAAATATTTGCAATATAAAATTGTCAACTATTCGTAATATTATCAAGAAAATTAGAGTCCATAAAATGGACATACATGTGAAAGTTAATGTTTTGTTTTGCCAAATGTATTTGGAGCAATTAAGAAAATTAAAAAAAACTGTTTCATTTTCCACTCACGACGTACATAATTATGAATCTGTTAAGAAGGGTTAGTACTCATAAATATTAAAATATTACTCACGTTTCTTGATCTAATAGTTTGTTGGAACGTAGTGATGATGCCAATCCAAACTTGTCTGGAGCACTACTGTGCCACGCGTCACAATATGCGTCCATTGCTGGCTCACCGTTTGGACTAGTTCCATGCCAGACAGCTTTTGTAGGCCTAGGAAAAAAACACAATGATTTTAAAACCCTTCGCTTATTTAAAAATAAAGGTGACAGTAAGTTTTTTTTGTTAAGGCTTGTCAAGTTAACAGCTCAACTGTTTCTTATGAAATTAGAGAGCACGGCAGTGTCTCAGCTGAATCGAGCACAGCCGTTCCATCCTTTTCTTAAAGCGATTCACGGTACTTTTGATTTTTCTCTAACTTTATTGTGGATAAAGCAAGAAATTTTAATTTTTAGTAATCAAGTGGATTCATACGTATATATTTGGTACGGAGAAGGATTGCTTTTCAAATAACGCCGATGAATTCACAGACATAAAGGTAGTAGATAATAAATTAAACATTTTATAATTATTAAAAATAATATAAAACTGTTTTTATTTCTGTGTCAGATTACACAAAAAGGAATAAAATCGGTTATAAGCAAATTAATTATATTAAATATTTACAAATATAAAGAACAATATACTAGGTAAATATTTTCATTGTTTTCTCTACATTTTGTATGATGAGCTCATAGTAATTACTATGTTATTTTGGTTTGTAATATGACACCGTAATTATACATTAATAACATGCTTTATATTGGATATTACTAAAATGTCTTTTATAGTCTAATACACATATATCAATATAACGAGAACATCAAAGAGTGTATTAGATATTTTTATAATGGTCTAGATATAAATTATATTGAAACGTTGGTAGAGTAAAATCAATATCACTTAGTGATATTATGAAAAATGATAGTACATTAATTATTTATGAAAATGCTTCTATCGGATATTTTATCGTATAGAAAATAATAAAGATGAAAAAAATTTTGAGCCATAAATTATTTTCAATAGGTAAACACTTATCATTTTGAAAATTTTCTACTCATAATAAATGATACGTACTTACATATACTCTATATGGGATTATAATTTAATTGAGTATAGTTCTTTGTAAACACATGTAGCAGTATATCATAGACTAAACTGTGTATACTGTTTAAGTCTATAGGCGACGGTTACTACTTTTTATCTGGTAGCCGTTTGTTTGTCATTGTAAGCATGATTAAAAAAGGATAAAAAAAAAACTGTTTAAAGAAAAATAAAATAAACATTTGCTCTTGTTATATTATCTTATTCAACTCGACACTTCCGACTTTAAAACAGTATACTCCAATAAATAATTATAGCTATTTGGTTTACATAGTAAACTTCTATAGTATATCTATAACGTTTGTCGTAAAGGGTATCAACCCAAAATCCAGTTATATTCGTGAACAACTTCCTCAAGTTACAAAAGTAAACGACATAGCCCAAAGGATAAGTGTTGCGAACTCCTTAGTTATTTTTAAAGATTTTATTTTTATTGTATTTTTATACTTTTGTTTTTACAATTGTCGCTTTTGCTCTTTGCTGTCCTAGTCTATCTTTCGTAGTTTTCTTTATTATAGTTATTTTCCTTTTAAACCCATTGTTTGATTACATCATATACATCAATATACAGTCCAAAATATCGCCCACAGATAAGCAAGCTGAAGTGGCATTGGGCTGGTCACATATAAGTAGCTCGAAGAACTGATAAGAAAGAAAAGTTCTTGAGTGGCAACCCCATATGGGCAAATGTAGTGTAGGACAACCTCCCACAAGATGAAATGACGACCTCAAATGCATTGCAGGTAGTCAGTAGGCTTAGGACCGTTCCTTATGGCAGTTTATGGGGAAGGACTATGTCCAGCAATGAACGGATAATGGCTGAAATGATAATGATGATGATGAACTTCCTCATGGAAGCAGTAAATAAACCGAATCTTTCGTACAATTCAATTTCATACACGTGGCTGTTTTAATACTATTCGTATTATTTTTATAAAACACTAATACTTATGATACATATGACTAAGGTACAAGCAAATATTCTCACCATCCAGGATCCATTAGCACGTTTTGTCCACTGAAACTATAAATTCTCGGGGCATGAGCGAATAATGCCCCCGATCCATCGAACATCTCCCCCCAGGAGTTGAAAAGGACGTCACCTCGTGTGTTCACTACTGGTATCTCTCTGTCCACCCAACTGACGATGGAATCTATTGTTTGGACTCTAGAGAAAAAAAAATATGCGTAAAGTATCAAATCGAATTCATGCTCAATAGTAATATCTTAGATTATATAGATAGAGTGTCTCCATACAAATGTTTCGTGAAAAACGGATCAACTATTTCTTACAATTTTGCGTGATAAATAATTACGGATGATTCCTTTATAACTTATATATTTATTTTGTCTTTTAATTTCTGGATCTTTTTAATGTGTAAACACTCGTTTTGTTTATTATATAATACGTCAAGATACATTTTATGCGTAAGTATATAGAACACTGATAAAATAACGAGTCAGCTAATTTGATAATTAGCTGACAAAAAATTTACCCGGTTTTGAGGCTCGATGCTCTATCTATATAATCTAAGAGTGACATCGATACTTATAAGCTACCGATACACCACGTTTTTAAAAATTTTTAAAATAAAATAAAGCCCAAGATACTCGATGATAAAGTAGTTTTCTGTGAGTAAAAGAGTTTAAAAAATTATATATTTTTTTGGGTATTTTCAATATATACAATTATAATTAAAGACTGTATCCTACAAAAAGAATCGACTTCAGTTGTGGCAAAATTTTAATTTTGGTACAATTTCTGTGCGATCAATCTGTAAGTATATCCTCTTAGATAAAAAAAATAAATAATCGGTTTAGATCCAACAGAGTTATGAGGTAACAAAAATAAAAAAGAACCGAATTGAGAACCTCCTTTTTTAAATCGGTTGATAAAAAAAAAACAAATATTTTCTCTTTATAATTTTAAACTAATTATTATAATTGATTTTATATGTTTATTATATAATGGATTAGTTGTGAATAGATGGTTAAGTAGATATCTAAAACTCACAAAATACTTACCTGGATGATATAAAAGCTCGAAAAGTGCCGTCTAGATTGGCTCTTTGAGCCTGTCTCCGGCATTCGTAGTTTGTGCTACTTACTCCATGCATATCTCCCGTATGAGGTTCATTGAGAGCTGCCAGTCGAAGCTAAAGAAAAAAGCAGAACATGTAATAACGTGTTGGTAATATATTTATTATAATTTTGTAACAGTAATATTTGAAAATAACAATTCTTCAATAGGAGAGATTATTAATTTATTAAATCCTTAAGATGCAAATAAAATATATTTTTATTTATTCTACACTTTATAGCACTATTTATGAAAAAAAGTGATACAAATGCAGCCTTTTTGCTAAGCAATATCTTCCAGACAATCTTTGGGTAGAGGACATCGAGAAAAAGACATTATATATATATATATATATGATTATAAAGAGTGATATAGTAGGACTTAATAGAGGTTTTGAAGCGAGTGAGTAGTGAGAGATATTTATTTTATTTATATTAAAACACGCGCTGTATATTACAGAATAGTACAATAGACAATAAATATTTACACTTGAAAACATTGCGTTGTTTAAAAAAAATTAAATGATTTAAAAAGTTTTTATATTTAACAAGCTCGTACCTATGTCTTTTAGTAACTAAAACTATTTTGACTAGGACGTGTTTAAATTCAAATCACTTTTATAGCACATTCTGAGAGACATAGACATTTTCAATTTACCTGTGCTTGCAATTGTGTAACGAATAGTATTGACACATAATTTGCCAAAAATAGTACTTGTAGTTTAGTTGCTACGAAAGTACAAGAACTTAAGGTAAAGGTAAATCGTTTTACCTTTGGTCACTATTAAACACCGAAAAATTTCCAAGAAAATTTAAATAAATGTAATAAAAATAATTTGCGATGTAGTCACGGCATTGAATGGGTCACTCTTTCCTTTCCCTCGGATGTCGTAAGAGGCAGCTAAGGGAACTTATTGGTCGATGGATGGGTAGCAGTATCTCTCTTAAAATATCTCCAAAGCCTAACAGCTGTTGCCAACACGCCTGTCAAACGTGGCAACTACAAGCAAAATCCTCATATAGGGGAGGCTATGTTTAGCAGTAGACACTTAACGACTGATACAAATAAAACCAAATTATTACATTGGTCTATCTCTAACATAATCTGATTATTCTTTTTGAGCCTTATGCTGATGATAGTAAAGTATGGTATCTATCAATCAAAGTATTTTAAAATATATAATTATTTATGTCGACTTTACTCATAAAAATAATACTTACCACTGGCCCCTCCACAGCTGGATTTTTATGATGGACCAAACTGGAGGTTTCCAGAATATTCTGTAAAGGTGTCCGTGTCGGAGTATTGGACGGTGGAGTGTGTATAGCTAATAACGAACCCATCTAAACAAAACAAAACATTTATTTATTCTCAATTAACCATTGGAATAATTTACAACAGCTATATTTTGTTTATTTATACCCGTAATGTATTGTTTCGTAACTAATTCGCTTTAAAATAATGTACAAATTTTATAACATTGTACCTATAATACAACAAACATATATTTTTGTATCAATCAGTTTTCTGTTTGAAGGTAATTAATTAGATATGAAGTACAATCTTTAGCATAAGAGGCATAAAATCTAGATAATAGGAGTAATAAGGCCTATGTATGAGCCAATGATACTGCGGAATATCATTGGTAGTCCATATGCGGTAGGTACGTATAAATACATGTATAATAAATTTGGGAGTCACGGTACAAGAATTTACAGGATACAGAAGAATAACACCTTAGCCTTCAGGAATGGCAACGCATGGACGAAACAGTATACTCTGTTATGTCCATAATACTGCTCATGTCTATAGGCGACGGTTACCACTTCCCATGAGGTGGGCCGTCAGCTTATTTACCATTCTAAGTTGCATAAAAAAAACATTCTATAATGTTCATGGTACCATTTATATTATACAACAATTACCATTTGCCATCAAATTTACAAATCTTTATTCAAATAAACTTGTTTATAAGCACCTTTAAACCGTCATTTTTTTTTAAATCTATTGAAGGGCTCAGAAAGTTATTATCAGTTGAGAAATGTCCGCAAAAAACTCGAGAGTTACTGTTTTAAATTTCTGTTCAATCATGAAGTCTAACTAAGCTTATTAATCAAAATAATAGATCTTTACGCCTATAGTCCACTGCTATTACTTTTCATCCGATGGCCGGTCAACACATTCGCTATTCTAAATACCATAAAAAGAACATTTTTTTACACAAACAATACATTTTTACTGAAAAAAAAATCAAATACAAAAGTCAGCATGTGAACTAACTAATAACATAGGGTATCACTGTAACTGTAAATTAACCTTACTCGAACTACAGTTAGCACTTCAGTATATTACCCGTTAATTACTAGAATTAAAATATAGTTAGCTCACCGCAACATACTGCCAGCCGTTGTTGACACGAACGAGTAGTGCTTGTTCCTGTATTACATATGCCAATGTGCCGAGTGGGCTCGTTGTCCCCAACTGTGGAAAATATTATTTATTAACTTTTATCAGCCACTAAACCGCCTCCGCATGACCAGGATATATTTCCTGACCGGGATGAACGGCCTATATCTTTCTTCATCCCTGATAGTCCCTGATAGTAGTAAATTTCATAATGATTGGTTAAGCCGTTAAGGCGCTATAAGATAACAAATAAACAAACTCACCTCATAATATTAGGATTTCGAGTTTAACCTATTTTCCCATGTTAACATTATAAGTAAGTTAGCCGGTCCTATATTAACATTAAAACTTTACATGTCTAGAAGATAGAGATACTTAAAAATTATGTTCCAGAAAAGATACTTCAATCTTGACAAAATGTATGCGTAACCGTAACAAACCAACAAACTCACTTTCACATTTATAATGGTAGTAAAGATGGTAAACTAGATTTTTTTTAATAATTAATATTCTATGTCGACTTTTTGATAAAATTTCATTATTATACATTGATCAATTACATTGTTCAACAATATCTACTTACAATTTTACAATAGAATATACGATATAAAGAGAGAAATAATAATACTTAACAACTGAACGTGAAAATATTTCCCAATAAAATGTAGATCCAAAAAAATTTAACCTCTTATATTAACTTGACAGCTGGATTTTTAATCTTCCTAACGCGCAGGAACATTAAACATTATATATTTTTTTTTAATATTAAATTTTCTAATACAACAATTCCATTAAAATAATATTTTAGTGTTACCCTTTTTTTTTTTATTAATTCTGCGACGTTTGTAGTCAAACGACCCGAAATATTCATATACATTTTATAAAGGTACAAGCTTCAATCATGACAGGTTACTATCGAATATAACTATGGGAGAGTGAATCTAAGTTTTTAAATATATATGACTAGCTGTATCCCACGCTTGAGTCAGTACATAATGTATCCCATGTGGTAAGTTAGGATATAATATACCCGTGTACCAAATTTTGTTCAGTAATTTTTAAAATTTATAATTTTAATAGGATATAGTTACATTATATTATATGAGACTTACACGAATTAATGAGTCCGTAGTCTTGAAAATTATAGTTCCAACTATAGTTCTTCCATCATCATCCTCGTCAAAATCTGAATTTTCACCTACCGGATCCAGCGGGTCTCGGAAATCTATTTATTAAAAAAAAAAAAAACAAACAATTAAAACGTGTCAGAATTGTTTACTTAATAATACATAGGAAAGAATTCTTTAGAATGTGATATTGAAGAATACTAAGTACATAATAATATAATAGATAGTACCTTGTTTATAGGGATAGGTAATATGAGTATAACTCCGATATATATATATATTGGATTACTGTAGACATTGATGGTACAATATTTGATATAGCCCATATCGGTCTGATCTGTATTATTTATTTATTTATTCATTAGTACAAATATGTGTACATGGCGGACTTGATAAAAGTATTCTCTCCCAGTCAACCATAGGGAAGTGTCAGAATACTCGAATTATTTTGGATTAATTTGGATCGGGTGCTACTTTTCAATATTATATATTAAATATATCCGTTTATTTAGACAAATATATAGATATTGTTACTGTAATATACATATATTGCTAAATATTACCCAACTTTACTTGCTTAAGAATATTAATATATATTTAATATTTTTAATTCAGTTTTTCTATGATAACGTTCATAGTCACAGGTATAGATAAAAATAAAGAACGTATGTATTTTAATCTGTATGAAACCTAAAAAATATACCTACTAAGTAATTTATTGTAATATTAAAAGAGTTATTTATTAGAAACACTTGTTCATACAAAACTTTCCAGCAATATTCAGCCGACGTTCAAAGAGCTTGAATGTTACATATGACTAAAAATTTACATGCAAATTGCATGCAGGTACGTCATCTATATAGACATAGATGTTTGTGACAAACTCATTCTATGACTACGTCTTAGGTTAAAAAATATATAGATGAATGTTGGAGCGAGATAGACAAACAGGAAAGTTACGTACATAATATAAGCTCGAAACGGATTTAGTGGGTGTATGAAAATGAACTGATTATTTTTACATTTGTAACTACAATTACATTTAAATGTATGATTTAAGTTGTTGAGTTGATTAAAGTTAAATGTAATGTCTCTGAATATAAGTCAAATTAGAAACAAATCGACTTGTAATGATGATTTAATTCATTTTTCAATTTAGCTCTTTAAATGCAATATTGTAGAGTTATAAGAAATGTTTTATACAACAATTAGTAGAAAAATATGTTTATTACTACTACTACCATAATATAATCCAAACACAGAGTTATAAACGGTCACGAATTGTAATTTAAATTTTACAAATACATAATTTTTTGCTTCATTTTTCATTTCATTTTTAACTTCAATTCAGACCTGTGATATGTTTAAATTTACCTAGCTCATGCACACATTTACACGAGCATTAATGTAACTATTTTTTTTTTGTCTTGTTTTTGTTATTATATTTTCTGTCAGTATCTGGGTTTTTCCTAAAAATTAAAAAGAAAATACGTTTATAATACACTTACCGTAAGGCTCTTGACGATATTGTACCAAATGGTTCAAACTTCTCAAGATGTGTAAAGCATCTCGTTGTTTACCTGTCCAACAAATAAGTTTATTTAAATCTCTAAAGGCCAACCCGTGCGGAATAATAAAACACATCACTTTCGCCTTTTTACCACTGTCTATCCTTAGGGCTAAGGCTATTTTATTTCTCTTGAAACAATTTGTTTTTATAAAGTAATTTTAAATTCAAACAAAAATGTAATTGAATTTGTATACCTATTTAAAGATAAAAAGATTTCTGAAATATAATTAGGGAACGAAAGTCGTGCTTCAGCGGTTTACTATTATGTGATAAAAATCCGATTTATAGAAAAATCATAAGCGCGAATTTTTAATCTTTTTTAATAAAATGTAGTAAAAAGGTAATTAGATGTTATTTTAATTATCATAGAGTTACTTTCCAAATGAAATAGTAACAAATAGAAATGTTCTATCAATTAATTGATTTTTCATTTGTACTGCTATTAGATATCATCAGACTGTGTTATTTTCAGGTCAATTATTCGCTTTTTTTATATTTTCATTATGTTCTGTTGCGGCAGACCATACCAAACACTAATCACAATTAATACCTAACTTTCTGATGGTAAAACACAATATTAATTTTACTATTACTAAAAACATTATTTAGTTATAGTAAAAATATAATTTTCTATTTCTGATTTATTAATCTTTGTGATCGGGAGTTCAAATCTAATCGCCACAAAAACTACATAACGTCAATAGATAACAATTTTCTCTCACTCATCCATTAAAGATTATAGACGTTAAATATATAAAGTACCAAATAAAAAATATTTGTATTATTTTCTCTACATTTTTCCATATCAAAAATTTGTGTTATAGTGATAAATTACTATCTTGTTCGTCTTTGTAATGTAACATCATATTGCTATTAGGGATTATATGTAGTTGCAAACGTTCTTTTATTTTTGAATACACAAACAATATAAAAATATACCTAACATTTTAATACTTACCAGTACCGGGCTCTCGACGATTAATCCCCGGGCTATCGGTCAATGTATCGGGCGGAACGTCGTTTGCATAAGGGCCAGGTGGCCCCGGGGGACCCGGTGGTCCTGGCGGTCCGTGTTACTAATGATAAATCCTCGATCACCTTTTTCACCTTTTATCTTCAGTAAAATAAAAATAAGGCAGTGTTATTCATACTTACTCTAGAGAGTAATCAATCATTATAATTTTTATTACTATCTGTTTAGAAATATATTATTACCATTACCGTTGGTATAAAACTAGCCAAAATCATAGAAGTTAAAAAATAGATATTTAATCTAATTTAATAAAGAAAATGCCGACAAATTATTTTTAACTTAATCTGTTTTTATCAGAAAATACGCCAATTACCAGAGTTGGCTCCGGTTCTTACGCGTCTTTTTCGGCTCTGTTACTCATCAGGTATAGTCCCAAAGTTTTGGAAGACTGCTTTGGTCCATCCGATCCCTAAAAAAGGAGACCGCTCAGATCCAGCTAACTATAGGCCCATAGCTATCACGGTCATGGAATCAGTTATTAACCATCAACTGCTCCGGTACCTAGAGGATCGCCACGCCAGTACGGCTTTCGACGGGGACGCTCGGCTGGTGATCTTTTAGTTTATTTAACACACCGATGGGCAGTGGCAATCGAGAATAAGGGAGGCCTTAGCTGTTAGTCTGGATATTGCGAAAGCCTTTGATCGGTGGCATAGGGCACTAATCTCAAAACTACCTTCGTTTGGGTTGCCGAGATTGTGCAGTTGGGTCGCCAGGGAACGTAGCATTAAGGTCGTTCGACGGAGCATGCTCTGACTTAAAACCTGTGAATGCTGGTGTCCCGCAAGGCTGTGTACTATCTCCGACACTGTTTCTTCTGCATATCAATGATATGTTACAGATCAGTGATATTCATTGTTATGCGGACGACAGTACAGGAGATGCATTATACACCGGTCATGCAAAGATCTCGCGGGCACATACCGATGAGCTCCGAAACAGACTTGTGTCTGAAATCGAAACTTCACTCGATAAAGTTTCGATCTGGGGTGAACGATCTTGTTCACTTTTTCTGCGCGTTCACCGCAAAAAAGACACCGTTTGTCGTATCTTCAGTATAATAAGTAAAATATATCTAGGACGTCCAGTTTTATCTGGAGGAAAAAGCTAAGATAGCTTCCAAAAAGTTGGGGGTGCTCAATAGGGTGAGACGGTATTTCACGCCAGAAAACCGCCTGAAACTGTAATCATTATAATTTTTATTACTATCTGTTTAGAAATATATTATTACGATCGGCGTCTTACTGTTGGTATAAAACTCTCTGTGCATCTTCTACCGAATTTATCATGCCAAAATCATAGAGATTTTCACCATCGTTAAAAAATAGATATTTAATCTAACAACCACTCTTTGGAAAAAGAAAATTTCCGCCGACAAACATTTCAAGAAAAGAGCATTTTTTTTAAAAGGCTTGCAATCTGTTTTTATGGGCGGCGGTAGTCAAAATACGCCAAAAAAAAAAAAAATTAAACAATGTTTAATTAGTAAGTCAGAATTTTCTTAAACACTATTAGATAGATAGGCGGTGTTTTAAATTATTTTTGTAGTAAAACTGTTACTGTTTCTAAAATTTCATAGTTTGAGATTTATGTGCACTTGTTCACCTTGATTTATTTATTAGATAATACAATATCTGTGTACCTATACTAATATAATTAAACTAGAAAAATACCTTGTCTAAGTCGTTTTGACTTAAGCCAGGATCGCCTTTTTCACCTTTTTGACCCGGAGGGCCAGGTTGTCCCGCGACTCCGGGCGGTCCCTTTAAAATAACATGCTAGATGGTAGCCGTTTTATTTCAGTTTATAAAACACGAATTCTTCACGTCCTTAAATCTACTAGAACATTTTCAATTTTACCTAAATTAATGTAATTACATTAGCAATGCTCGCAGCTTTTTCAGTGTAGTTATTCTTAAATACAGTATGATTATATACCAAGAATGCTACGTGAGGAATTTTGTAAATACAACGGTTAACAAAGACCTCAGAATACAATATAAGATTCGAGCTGTAATTAATAATACACTTATGTATAAGTATTTAAATAATCTTACCGTCCATCCCGGTAATCCAATATCACCCGAAGGACCATTGGTGCCAGGTGTTCCTGGGGGCCCTGGTAGTCCTGGAGGACCTCTTGGTCCAGGTGGTCCAGGGTGACCTCTCTTCCCTCGGGGACCAGATTCGCCTTTTTCACCCTGATTAATTAGTACTTGTAGTAAATTAAATTTAGAATTATTACGAAATTCTTATTGAAATAATTATTAATAGAAATATCTATTTGTTACAGTAATTTGAATGACATTTAATTATTTGGCAGAAATATAGTTTGAAAGTCAAGTATGGGTGTGATTATTAAAAAATAATTATCGTTAGTTATACTGATAATTATTTAAAATGTGAATAAAGCAGACCTAAATAAATACAATACGCGTGTACAATGTAAGAGTGGGTAATATATTGCAATATCTATATACCATTGTAGTTAATATATCTATAGATACTCGTATATTGACACAATAACAGATATATTAACAGATAATTATTAGAAAAGAAGAATCCTCTCGTAATGAATATAGATATCTGACTTGTATTGGCGATATCGCAATGGGTGGTCATCAATGTCCAGAAGAATCTAATATATAGATATCGAATCTTACCCATCTCTAGTACAACATCAAACGGTATCATAAATATACTCGAAAAATTCTTCAGTATTTGCATTTGAATAAACGAAGAGATAATATTAAGTAACCAAATACAATACAATAGACAATATAATAAAATTAAGAAAGAAGAAGCAAATAATTTTTATTAAAGTAAATATAAATTTATGTATATATTTTTAATAGTATTTTTTATGATTTTATCGTTCATTAATACAAGAAAAGTAATAATTAAATTCTAATTTGGTTAGGGACCGATTGCAACGAAAGATTGACATACAGTATGTCGACCAAATAGGCGACGTGCTAAAGAAGGGCCAGACTAAAAGTACCCGTAACTGGGTAGCGTGTATGAAAAGATTGATGAATGTGGAGGAAGCGAAAGAGGTCTGTTTAAATCAAAGCATTTAGCATTCTATTGTTTCTGTCTACCCTAATGGGAGACAGGGGTGACTGATATGTATGTATAGGTAATAATTATTTGTAAGAAGATTATTTCTTAAAGGAATTTCATTTTAAAATTAGTGATGATAAATTATCAGTTTATATGACAATTATTACATACCTTCGTCATTACCAAAGCTTCGTCTCGAGATATTGCAACAGGTCCCGGGGGTCCGGGATCGCCCTTGTCCCCTTTCGGGCCATTACTCCCGGGTGGGCCTTGAGTTCCAGGTAGACCTGATGGCCCAATGTCGCCACGTTCACCCATCTTTCCATCATTCCCTGGAAATCCTTGTGGACCTTCCATTCCCCTTGAACCTTTTTCACCCTAATGAATATCCATTATAACACTTGTAAATCATTCGATATTGTAATTAACAGAAATTAAATTGAATAATTTTTCAATACTTAAAAGAAAAATTATCAATCAAGAACATAACTAGAATATTATTTTAGCAAGGATTGTTCATCATCATCTAAAAGACAAAATTAAAACGCATCCAATTTTGAATTTGAATATTAAAATTGGATAAATATATTCCAAACTGCAAAATTATATATATTAATCATATATCTCATTACTTTGTATACAATATAACATAATAAAAGTTTAGAATACGATTCTCGAGTGAAACAGTTCCGACCAATTCGGGCTTTGAATGTCATGAACCGTTCTATATCATTCGAGGCGATTATTTTCAAGTAGGTGAATAAAATGTTTATTTACCTACCTATTCACTTTTGATAATTCATTTTTACACAAATGTTTTTTGCTTTTACGAATATGATTGAAAATGTACTTTGTTATTAGTTTAAAAGTCTAAGGCTTTTTTATTTACATCAAGTAGTCTTGGCAGGTAATTACCTTTTCACCTCTTTCGCCCCGCTCTCCCTTCACTCCCCTTGTGGTGGGCGATATGTCTCGAGGGCCTGAGAATATTATAAGCGATATTTGTATTCAAGTATCGTTATAGAAAAATCATAAAATATCAGAAAAGTTATTATACGGCGCGGTTTTGGGTTAAGCAAAGTTGTATGCGTAACTTATGTAGACCCTTTGTTGGTTTAACGAGGGTAATGGTATCGCAATTAGTGGGAAATGGAAGTTGTTCTTTATAAGTAAGTGTATGTATACACTAATTATTTTTGACCTCGCCGACGAATTAGGTTATTTATCTTCAAAAGTAAATGTTAGAGTTATTACTGCTGGCCATTGTTTTGACGTCTGGTAGTAGTTAGTATTTGCGTAATGTCTAGACTTTAAGACTATTTTAAAGATATGTATTTAAATAATAAATGCTATTTTGTGGTGTTCCCTTGAGTGAAATGTTGGCTTCACAGTAGTATTCAGAACTTAATCTGAATTTATCATAATATATTAATTCATAATGACCTCCGAGAGCTCAGATTAATTTAAATGTTTATTAAGTCTTTTTAATTTATTAGAAGTTTATTGTATTACATCTTTTTCACTGTTACGAAATGAAATGAAAAGTAAAAACTACCAAATGTTTACCGATGGTATTTATAAAAATTTATTATATATTTTAAATAATATTCTAAAAGTAATCGATATATAATATGTGTATTAGTTTTTTTTTACATTATGTTTATTTGGGTCAATTCCACCCCACTTTATCACAACTAAGTATGATAAATAATACCTATCCTATTATATAATATTACCACTTTATTTTATTAGAAGATTTTCATGCCCAACAGTGGGATATTAAATAGTTATTAAATAAAGTACGTAACATTGCATATTTAAGCTGCTATTAATACTCATAGAGATACTCAAATAAACTTTCCTAAATGACATCAGATACGTTTATTCAGATTTGTGCCGCCAGATGTTGCTTTGTGTAGTTTTCAGTACACGTATTCCATTACAAGGACCAATCTGTTGGTAACTTTATATGGTTTTATGACTAAAATTTATGATAGCACAGCTAGGTAAATGTTAATATTACAAAGCATGTGGTATATCATAAAAATGCGTGAATTTTCTGCCTAAAGAAAATATATTCCTTAATTTATTATAATGTTATACGTAACATTCATTGTTTCATAACCTTGAATTTGATAAATTATATAAGTTAGATACGTATAATATATCTGGTATTATATTTTTCCTTAGGTACATTTTATAAGATATTTTTTTTTTAATTTTCAGTAATCCTATCGATTAGAAAAGAGAAATCTTATACATACTCGTATACAGATAGTCTAAATATTTGTTGCTCAAGTTTAAACTCAAACCACTGAACATATTTAATATAAATAAATATATAATATCATAGAATAATACAAATATACAGTTTTTATCACCATTCACATGAGCATAACTACATATGTGGTACAACTAGTACTATATAAATACAAAATAATTATTTAAAAAATTCAGAACATCTGAACATCTCCTCCATCATACTTCAACTTCTGAAGTCACTTTGATTTTGATTTCCATGTCGTTGCCTTAAGAGACACTTTTCGGTTTCTAAGTTATATTTATTGGATATTTAGAGATTTATTTATTACATTTATATGGATTTTAGAAATTATTTAGAGATAGTCGTGTTTGTAAGATATAAATACCTAAAAATAAAATTAAAGAAAATAACTTTATTGTTAAAAGTTTCATAGGTACACATTATATTTTAATGTAAACATATTACAGCTTAGTTAAACCGGTAGTTATAACATAAAGAGATAAAATAATTACCTGCACGTGATAAATCACTTAATATCGAATTATCAGACATGACTGGTATAGCAGGACCTGGTGGTCCAGGAAGTCCTCGAGAACCTGATAAAATTAAAAATAAATTATTGAATGACTGTACTTGTATTGCATAACGTAGGAAATAAAAAACACACTTAAATCAATAAAACGTACATAAGGACGTTATTATAATATATAATAGTTAAAATAATATAATTGTATTGGAAATATATTAACTATATTGGTATTATAGGATTTATAAATCAATTCTACTAATAGTAGTGAAAATCTGCTTAAATGTTTGGATGTTTGTTACTCAATCACATGAAAAAAATGGTTGAAAGAATATGAATAAAATTTTGTACATAGGCTATAGTCTCGATTGCATTGTTTTTATCCTGATTCACGCCGGCAAAGTCGTGGAATACAGATGAATTTTAAATATGTCCAGCTAGTGATGCCAGTTGAATGATATTATCTAAAAGTAAAATATTACAATATTTATTTATAGTTTATCCTATACATTTGTGAATGTATTTATAATAAATGTTTCTTTTATTTCCAAAAACTTGGCCTAATTCCAGCGTACACAGAAAGAGGGTTTGCTCTAAAAATATATGTATATTTTTAGAGAGAAGCCTCTTTCTATCTACGCTATACTTTATTCAATTTGGATAACTAGCAAATACCATTACGAATTGGTAAAGCCGGTATTAAGTCTGTGTATCAGAAGAGAAAATTTGCTTTTCCCAGCGTGTTCTACCGCTTGTGTAACAGACTATTCCGGGGAATTGTTGAACATGATGCCCACGGCAATTTATCAATGCATCGTTTCCGAATTATATATCGCCAATAACATATATCGTGTTGCTTCCTTATATTTATTTATTAAATTTTCATTCTTTTAATCATACGTAGGTTTTTATTAGATTTTAATCATAAATTTTAGTTAGACAAAAATTCATAATTATCATAATTATCAATAAAAATTTGTACTAATTTTCAATAAATACGAACTTTAGAAAACAATTCGTTGTTTTTATATGCTATTTCATCCAAATTATCCATTTTTATGGAACTATTAGAACCTTTGAGTTTATGAGGCTACGTATAAGAGTATCTTTTATTTTTATACAAGTACATACTACTACTTACTACTATGTCTTAAGAGTAATATATTTTCAAAGTTTTTGAAATTAGTTACCTATCTTTAAGATAGCAGCATTTAAAGAGAGCATCTGACAAAATATATAAAGTCAGTTGTTCAATAGAGAGATAATAAAACAAGAGCTACTTATTACTGACCGTAAAATTGAAAAGCAATAATAAATAAATATGCGAGAACAGCATTGGAAGGATCCGCAAGGGTCCAGCGCGAAGAAATAAAGATTTTCCAAATCGTTACTATGAAGCCCTAAAATCTTGCGAACGCGTTTCCCGCGAATAAATAAGGGTCATAGTGAAACATAAAATTTGATGGTTGAGTTAGTTTGTTACCTTTTTCGCCCTTTTCCGCTGGACGTCCGTGAGAGCCGGGCAAACCGGGTGTGCCGTCGCGGCCCGGTTGCCCTCTCTCCCCTTTGGCGCCATGTGGCCCTCTTGGACCCACGTAACCCTGTAACACAGTTATAATCTTACGGGTCGAATGTAACATAACGCCGTGTTATAAGGGTCAGACCGGTACTTATTACATTAGGCCCAGGTTTATTATCCGCATACCTTTAGAATTACTGCCGTTCACCAGATTCCCTTTCTGTTCTGTTAGTTTTGCTAAATTCTTTTATAGGTTTATTTCTATTGTAAATATTTTTCTATCGAGGCAGATTGACATTGAATTTTATATTCGCTACTCGTGTATAAGTGTACGCGAGAAATGTTGAATGGATAAATCTGTCTGTTATGTGTTATGTCTGTATGTAATACAGTCTGACTTAGTTTGCGTGGCTGAGACAGAGTACGTGTTCAGGAAAGAATAATTTAAGAAATAGTAGGTATTACAAATTGTAAATAATAGAAAAAAAAAATACAAAGAAATTATATACTAATTTTCTAGATAAAAAAAGGGATGTCGATTAACTACATAGTTATCCCATATATACTTATATCCCACTGAAATCTTAAAATTTTGCACATACGTTCTTTATGTTGTTTAGGTGAAAAATAAAAAAGGAATTTTGAAAATTTAATCCCTAGGAGGATAAAATGGGCGTTGACAGTTTGTATGGAATTTCATTAGTTTAGAAATAAGATACGTGAAATTTTTTATTTATACTTTTGATTCCAAACAAAAATTAATATGTTTACTGGCATTTAAAGAATTTAGCAGACTTCTGATTATAAACAGATAATATACTTTTCAGTGCTTTACTTTCAACCATAGAGACTAATTTACTTTAGATGAAAATTTGTTAATTTTAAGATAGGAAGGGCACGAAGTCGGCAATGGCTATAACTTATAAGACAGAGATAGAGAAGTTATTCCCATTAAAAATCGAATACCACATGCGACCAAAGCCGTGGGCAAAAGTTATTACTATATTATTTACATAATTTTTGCTTATTTATGCAAATACGGAATAATATTAATATTATTAATTTTTATTTTCAAATACATATCACATAAAATCTCTTTTAGAGATAAGTTCTTGTAGTAACTGTATGTTTTAGTGCAATAAAGAATATATATACAAAATGTAATTTAAGTCCCTACATAAAAGTCTGTTTTATACGTATAGTAAATATAAATATACAAGTATTTTTCTTCTTTTCTGGGGTCTTTCTCCACTTATAGGGAAAGGAAAGTTCAACCTATCATTACCAGGTCAGGCGCCTTGGTTTAAGTCCTGAATCTACTGTTACGAAATCTAAGATGTAAATTTCTTCCTTTGCACCAATATGAATGAATTATAATACACTCGAACTAAATAAGTCCGTATCCACACAAATACTCATCTAAATGCAACGAAACAATTACAAGATATAATCATATTCAGGATAAACTTACCCGTTCGCCTTTGTCTCCTTTTGGCCCATGTAATCCCCTTTCCCCCTTATTTCCAGGGTATCCCCTCTCTCCTTGAGGACCGGGTAACCCCATTGGACCCCTTTCGCCTTGAGGACCGGCAATTCCAGGATTACTGGACCCGTATAATCCTGTTGATTCCTGTGTTAGATATGACGATGAGAAATTTGTGTTTGCTTGTGAAACTTATAATAGCATTATGCTGTTAAGTAACACTATAATTACAGTGTAAGACACATGTAATGAACTAATGTCCTTAACATGAGTATAACGATTACATAATAAGACGCATTGCTCTATTTAGACGTCAGACGACTCGTAAAATATAACTTTATAGACTGTGATATTTTGCTTTCATATTTACGAGTATAATAATATAAGTATATCATTGTAAGGAATAAAAGTCGCATTGCATCAATAATTTTGGATGCGAATATGAAATAAAAAAAAAAAGAAAGAAATAAAAAAATGGAAAAAAAAACATTATTGATGTACAATGTCTTTTTTGTACTTTTAATTAATTGAGAATAAAGCTTTATTAATTGATTAAATAGAAATAAATAAATAAATAGTCGAATGTTATGCTGTAATATCTGTCATTGTAAAATATAAACGAATAAAATAGAAAAAATCAGAAAAGAACTCTTTTACTCGTTATTGTTCTATTTTTAAATTTGAAATTCTATATTAAAAAAAGATATTATTTACACACCATAAGAGCAGAAGACATTGGTCCTGGTGGGCCGGGTGGACCAGGTGGACCTTGCAGCCCCTGGATGCCATCTAGTCCCGGTTCTCCTTTAGGGCCAGGCTGGCCTTCTGGTCCTGATGCACCAGTTTCGCCTCTTTCACCCCTGTCGCCTTTTGGTCCAATTGGACCTGGTGGGCCTGGGTCTCCAATTTGCCCCTACATTTTATAAAAAAAAAATACAATTTGCATTATTATTTGTATATTTACAAGTGAATTAAATAGTAAAAGGTAGTGATAATACTGTTATTGTTGACAAGTTACAGTCGTGTGCCATAACCAATTCCTTTATAGTACTACTTGGTAAACTAGTGTTCGCTATTGTCGACATAATTTTTGTCGTGAAAAATTTGTTGTTTTGGTAGGACACGTTAGATTTCCCAGAGGATTGTCTGACTCAATGTTAGTGCGAATAAATGCTAACATATACTTTGAATACACAAAGGTAGTACACGTAACTAAGGTGACTCTATATATTTACGCATATATTTAACATGAGTATACATTGTATTGAGTTCGAAGTGGATTTTTTTATGATACGAAGGTGGCAAATAAGCATACGGTCTGTCTGATGATAAACGGTCACTATAGCCTAAGGACGCCTGCAATACTAGGGGTCTTAAGTAGACAGGTGTGATAAGTACATTTTATATTTCAAAATTTAGAATGGATCAAAATCGCATTATTTTTTTTATTTTTTTAACTCACAAATAATTATAATTGGCAAAAATAAGATATACATAAAAATATATATAAATTAATTATCATTATTAATTTATATGTAATTAATACATATGTAATATTTCATACTAAATCTAAGACGTAACGTCGAAATTTGAATGAAAAGTTGAAAAATATGTTTTCATATTCCGACTGCATTCCTTGGGGAAAATTAGTCCAGTGTTATGGATTAATAAGTTTTGGGTTGGTATACACTTTGCAACTAAACTTTAGATAGGAAAGATTAACATAACATTATGTTCATACTGCATCCTTTGACTCTGTATAAGGTTATTTGGAAGAGATTTCTTTCCGAGATAAGCCCACCCTTGCTCGTAATATTTATAACTGTCTTATCAATGTAATTTACAAGTGCCGTTAACTGTACACTGCTGAACATAGGCCTTTCTCATTAGAAGAAAATTAGAAAGAAATTAGAAGAAGTTTTGGCAGTAGTTGCCACGCTTGGCAGCGGGTTGGTAGTTTGGCTTTGGTGATGTTTAAAGAGAGATGCTATTGCCCATCTTTTGACCCTTTAAGTACCCTTAGTTGCCTCTTACGATACCCATGGGAAAGAAAGGAATGGCCCATTCTAAGCCATTCGTGTGATTCCACATAATAAATATCAATAATAATAAAGAATATCATAATTATATACCGTCTTTCCTGGAGCGCCAGTTGTTCCATCAGCACCTGTTGGTCCTTGAGGTCCGGGTGGACCTCTGAGATCTGGCAACGTTTCTATGATCTGTGAGATATCACTCATACTGCATTTGCACTGGCCGGTTGGTATCTGTTAGAGAGAAAATTTGTGAAGGTAAATTTTACATTACGATTTACAAAGGTCAATGATGGCGGAATTAGCGTACCTACTCGTACTGACTCCAAAAAATGCGAATTATCGTTTTTTTTTACAACACAGGGGGCAAACGAGCATGCGGCTCACCTGGTGGGTAAAAAGGATTTTAGGCGTTTATATGCATGCATGTATATGTGTATGTATGTATGTATATCTATTTATATATGTGTTAGTATGTATATATATATATATATACATATATATATATATATATATATATAATAATGAGTAGGGATAATTTTTATATTATTATATGTATTAAATCTCCCATATCTAGAACTAACAAAATTTTTCATCGTGCCTCCTACCAAATTGTTTATAATTACCCTCTCCATCCAAAGGTTGCCAAGAGATCGCTCTTAGCGATAAGGTCGCCCATTGTTTTCTCATTGTGATTATTTCTTGTAATTATTTATATTTATAATATGTTTACTATTGTAAACTTTTGGAGGAAACAATAAAGAGTATCTACCTATCTATCTATCTATACTCTTTTCTTGAAGGTTATGTTATCGTATCGGTTCGGAAATACTGCTGCTGGATTTTAATGTCGATTACAGTATTGCAATAACATGAAATGAATTTTGACGATAGTACTGAGTCACCACTGACCTGTCTTAAATTTGGAGTCAGTAATTGACCACTTTAACCTTGCACCTAACATCTTATTTACTTTTTTATCGTATTTTAGTATATGCTAATTTGAAATTCCACTAATATTCTAAATATGATACGTATTTGTAAAGATATTGAGGTATTTGTAAGTTCAGATATTGTCTATCTATCTATCCTATTTAAGAGCTGCGCTCTTGTCGGTGGAGCTCTTGCCACTCTCTACGATTTTTAGCGAGTCTCTTCACCTCTTGATCGACACGACACCAACTCCTTCCTTGATCTGCCTGATGTAACTGTGTCTCGGTCCCTCTCTTCCCCTCCTTCTTTCTATCTTACCTTCTATTATAATGTTCATAAGTTCGTCGATATTGAATAAAATATAAACATAATGTGGTTTATCCAGATATTGTATTTAATTAAAATATAATTTTTATTCTGTTCTTTATATTATATACAATATCCATAACTGCTTTTATTACATATACTTGTATTCTGGATACAATTTATATCAATTTATTTAATAAACGATAAACAGTAGGGGTTAGAATTATTAAGGCGTTTCTAATTTCCTATTCGTACTTCTACCTTTTAATATTAATTTTGTTTGTCTTGAGTTCTAACCACTCATTGTAACTTTATTTCCTTGTTTTTGTTGTTAGCGCATGTAGAACTTCAATATAATAGAACAAAATTGTAGTGTTTGTGTGTTGTTCTCAAAGTTTTGACTTTTTTAGAACAATTTATTTAATTATTATTTCAACCGTTAACTATCCACTGCTGGTCTAAGCCTTCCCAATAAGAGAAGTTTTGCCAGCAGTTGCCATGCTTGGCAGGCGGGTTAGCAACCGCAGTTAGGCTTTCAAAGATATTTTAAGAGGGACGCTGCTGCTCATCTCTCGCTGTCCCTCAGTCGCCTCTTATGAAGGTATTGTAGTAAATGTTTATTCTACTAACTATTCATTTGGAATAATTATAAAAAAAATGTTAACAATTATAATGGGTAATGGGATAGTATTTATCAACTGTCGCCGTTATTGTAAATGTAATACTTAATATTCGCCGAGCATATTAGAATTCAACGTGGAATAATAATTATTTTTATAACCTCATCATCACAATTATTTGTCTTTTTTATATCTCATTTAAAAAAAAAGTATATATGTTTATATTTGTATATGTAAGTAATAATTGTATAATATTTTGATGTAAATATATTTGTATGATCGTAATATGTAGTGTTTTTAATAAAAAATAAATAATAAAATACGTATTTATAGAGCGGAAAAGAAAGAATTAACATCCTTTTAAGAAAAGGACTATTCTATCAGTCAAACGGACATGGCTTCAATAGAACATAAACATTTTTCCCAAAGGAACACGGTCGATAAACAACAAACAAAATTATAGGCTACCCACACTAACACGACACGTTACGAGCTGTTAAATTAGTATGGGGGAGTCAACATTTTTTGTCGTTTTTCGACACATATTTTTATGAGAAAAAATGTTCAATTTCACTGGAAGAATACTCTCTTAAAATTATGCTAACGATTTCAATTCCATTCTATATATATTTAATTACGTTACAGGCAATTAACAAAATACTTACAGCGTCCCCGTTCTCCCCCTTGTCACCGTTGAAGACTGAAAATTGAATATTTATTAGAACAGAACACTTGGATTTATTCGTGTACAAATTATTTCAATTACGAAAACAATGGATGTCGTTATTCTGTTTTTAGTAACGGAAATTGTACAATTTATTATTTAAATGAATATTTTAATAACAATACTTATAATTATATACGTAGAATCTGGTCTTCTATATTTGACACAATTTTAGCATATTTAAGATATGTTAAAATTATGATTAATTTAAATTTAAGATAAAATATTGATAATTAATAAAAATAAATTAATACTAAATTTAAAGATAATTAAAAAATAATTATAGACAAATTTAAATTAAGTTCTTTTTAATTTATTTCTGCACTCTTATTTCGAAAAATTAGATATATATTTAAAGAAACAAAATTACTTTTTAATATCTTATATGCTCAAGACTTGTTATTAATAAACTGGACATAATACTGTAAGGTTATTTAGAATTTATTTTATACAACTTAGAATGGCAAATAAACTGACAGACCACCTGATGGAAAGTGGTAACCGTCGCCTATAGACATGAGCAGTACCATGGACATAACAGAGTATACTGTTTCGCCCATGATACCTCCCATGCGTTGTCATTTCTAAGGACTCAGGTGTTATTCCTCTGTACCCTATAAATTCACACCATATTCCACCCTGTAAATCCAAACAAAGTCATACAAACACAACTGCTTCATGGTTGAAACACGAATGGGACAGAGGTACCCAAGCAAACGACTTTTGTACAAAGTCTTCCTCTGGTAAAATTAAGAATCTATACTTGATTACTGTAAGAACATTCGGTTACTAATAAATTTTGAACACCTGAATAACTACAGGACTATTTGAAAAAATATTACAACCATGCGAAATTTATTTCCTCAAATAACCACTTAATCGAATTGTATTATAGAGTCAAGGGTTGTGTAAATGATAAATTTATATCAACCCTACTCCATTATGTTAAAGTAAAAAGTCGTAAGTCACAAAAGCCGACATTCGGACCCTTTTTGCTTGGAGGCTCACTTATTTATCACGTAACATTACTCCACTAAAATGAACCCATCCAGCCTGAGAGCGAACGCGACTTACGAAAACGTGTCAAGTGAGATTGATGTATCGTAGGAAAAAATAATGAAAAAATCTACTTACACGGGGACGAGTGCGACACGAGAGGCAGTCGATTTTCGTCGGGATTTACCTGTAAAAGAAATACTTATAAACATCTTGTCTCATGTAGACATGCAAATATTGGATAATGAGGTATAATAAAGAAAACACTTATATTACGTAAACAATTTAAAATGTATATTTATGTGTGTATGTGGGTGGATTTGGAAGGGGTGTGGAGTGATGTCTATAAGGAGTTCCTTAAGACACGTGTACTTTAAATGATTGCGTACAATAAAAGCGTCAAGAATAAATACATATAAATAGGCATTATTTAAATATGAAAATTATATTTCAATAATTATTTAGTGATTGATAAATTCGAAGTGGGCAGGAATTAAACCTGTAACTTTTACGCCACACTGCGGCTGGTACTAGACATCAAGTATTACGCATCTTATTCAATTATTAGTAATCTGTATGACGATGATTCTGTAATGAAATAGAAGAAGATTTTCAAGTCGGTCGTACTTTTTTTTTATTTTTACTTTTTTTATTATCTTTTAACTCTGTCAATTGTAAACCCATTAGAAAAATAATAATAATAATAAACTCTTTATTGCGCACAATAGAGATGTATACAAGGAGTATTTATACAGAATGTGCATATACAAAAGGCGGCCTTATCACTAAAAGCAATCTCTTACAGACAACCTGAAAATTCTTATATCTGAAAGAATATACCTAAAGACTGATCTCGTAGAAATATTACCAAAATCAATTCGGTAGTTTAGTGTTTAAATGAAAATAACAGGTTTTTCCACAGTTGAAATCGTTTTTTTTTTTGTAGAATCTTAATTATAATTTTTTAGAAAATTCTGACACCAGTAAAGAAATAACTATATTTATTACAGAACCCTAAAAATGGTGCTACAATAATCGATGAAGACGTGGACACGCAGCTAATGAGATTCTTCCGTGTCCGAACGCAGTCAGTTTTGGTGATCGCCATGTTATTTGGTTTTATGTATCCAGATAAGATACGATAAATCGTTTTTTTTTTTTTATGTTATCTGATGTTTTTTTTTTTCAGTTAATTTGTTTTGGGCCACATTTATTGCCGAAAAGTTAATTTTGTTTAATTGTTCAATATTTTAAAATTATCCTGTACATAATTTTTTTTTTACTATTTTAGCGCTTCTGACAAATACAAATAATGGAATTTAATTTAATTTTCTTTCTATAGTATAAAATTTCCTTTAAGGTCACCGCCGACTAGTATTGTACCCAGAAGGCTAGCCGCCTTTTATATTTGTACGGGTGCTGCGACTATAATTAGCTTCGAGTTCTATTTGTATTGTAAATAAAAGATTATATGCTTCCAACTATAATTTCTTACAACGTAGTTAGAGGCATATCTCCCAGAGGCGAAACGTTGGTAGGGCGAGTGCAACTGGCCATTTGAATTGCTTTTATTAGGGAGAGATCCGTGGCCAGTAATTGAAATTGAATTATTACTTCAACAACCCTTTAATGGGTTGATGAGGTAAATTAATTAACAATAATAAATTAATTCATTTTACCTTCATCAACAGTAAATAATTTATTTTTTAATCATGTTAACCGTTAATTGTCCTGTGCAGTGTAAGCATTAAGTTTCCTTAGTCGCCTCTTACGACATCTACAGGAAAGAAAAAGGTGTTCCATTCAATGTCAGGACCACGCGGCAAAATAAATATTTATATGCATGAAATTTCATGCACAATGCCTAAGAACTATTTTTTTTATACAATATGTCACGCTAAATAAATTGAAGGTCTTAAGACAAAGAGAAGCAGTTGACTGAGTTCTTTCGACTGTCTCATCTGAAATAAATATCTAAGCTCATTTTTTATTTACAGTATTATGCATGCCATAACTACTCGTAGGTATCTTCTATGGTTTGAAAAGATTTTCACCAAACCTACAAAATCCTCAGGCTCATCTCTGGCTCTACGGATCCAATGCAGGAAAAGATCTTGATCCAAAGCATTGTATTTGAATAATAGTTTATACCTTACCACACCCTGGACACCATAAACAATGTTATCCGTGGCTGATATATATATATATATATATATATATATATATATATATATATATATATATATATATATATATAATGTCAGTGAATATAGAGCTTATATTATATAGATGAAGTATCTCCATATAAATGCTTCTCTTCTAGTGGATCAACTTTATATATATAATTTCAATATTTATATAAATTATATATATATATATATATATATATATATATTATATTATAGGTACGTAGAGTAAACTAAGGAGTAAATACTATATAGTGAAAAAAAAAAAATATATATATATATATATTGTTAAAATCAGTTCGAGTTGGCGATGCGTTATGGACGTAGATATAAAAAAATCAAACTTCCTTTGAAAGCTGCAAGAGAATACCATATAGGTTTGATGGAAAAAAATCTCTTATTAGAGATAAACTCGTCTTTATACATTATGTTTAAAATGAATTGTGCTTAACATTATTTTTTGTATACAATAAAGAATAAAAGAAGAAAGAAAGAAAGAAAGGTACCTATTTAATTTGTAACATAATATTAATATCATAAGTGGATACACTTATCCATTTCAAAAGGGCTACGATTTATTCTATAATAGGTACTTAATAGATATATCCGCATCTTATAGTGAATAACAAAATAAAACCCCTTTCGTTAGAAGCAAATCGAGAAAATTCGGTAAAGCAATCCATTCAATCCTTATACCATGGATTACCAGCTTTATTGAGTGTAAGCCAAGGTACATGCTCCGATATTTCACACCGAATGGAAATAGGAAGAGATTGTTTTGATTCCAGTTGCTTTATAATTTGTTACTGTTAGTACGCTCGATACTAGCTGGCATGTTACTTAATCTTGCGAGACAAATTCGTTATTTACGCTTATTCGCGTAAATTAAGTGGGGATCTAATTTATCTAAATAATTAGCGTTATATATTATTTGCGTAAATGAGATCCCTGTTGGGAGGTTTAGTATATTTTTTATGTAATTGGTAAAGACATTTGATGTACTAATTCAAATGATGGCAAGTAGTAACCGTCGCTTATAGAAATGAACATCGTGAATATCGCAATGTGTATGGTATTAAGCATGTGTAAAAATTCCTAACATCTTACATTTTAAGCCTCGGTATACTGTAATTTCACTATTATACATTTTAAGTTAATAGGATGGACAGCAGCATCCCTATCAAAAAGGGGGTTAAAGAGGTTTCTTCAAGGTCGGCAACACGTGCGTAATACCTCTGGTATTGCAGGCGTTCATAGGCTACGGTAACCGCGCGCCATTAGGTGGGCCGTATGCTTGTTTGCCACCTAAGTGGTATAAAAAAATAAAAAACATCAAAACATCACCAAAGTCTAACTACGGTTGCCAACCCACCTGGCAAGTGTGGCAACTACTGGAAAAATCCTCTCAAAGGAGGAGGTCTGCGTTCAGCAGTGGATGGTTGATGGCTGATATAATGATAATGATGATCCTTTAAATTAAAACACGACTGTATATAATTACTCCTCTCCATCCAAAGGTTGCCTGGAAGAGATCGCTCTTAGCGATAAGGTCGCCCATTATTTTCTCATTGTGATTATTTCTTGTAAGTATTTATATTTATAATAAGTTTACTATTGTAATCTTTTGGAGGAAACAATAAAGAGTATCATGAAACATCTATAATGTTTCCGTCTATTATTGTACGCATACTGCCCGCTAATAATTAATGCTCCTTTCCACTCAGGGTTTGCTGGAAGAGAACTCTTACAGAGTTAAGCTCGCCTGTTGTACATCTTTATTTTATATATATATATTATATGTTATAATTTTTTCTGTGTACAATAAAGAATAAATAAAAAATAAAAAAAAAGTATCTATCTATTTATAAATACAGTTGTTTGATAAATTAAATACGAGTGGAACCTAGGCCCCCATGAGGTGACTATTATTTATTATTTAATAGACAATAAATTTGTAAATTATTAAGTACAGTAATATGCTAACTCTTTTTACCCATGTGTAATAAAATATTGTATTATTATTAACCAGAAAATATTATTCAGTAGCACATGAAAATTACACACTTAATCCATAGCGCCAGAGGTAAAAACACGCTTACCTTACGACAGTCAAGTCACGCCAAAGGTACTTCGAGCAAACCAGTCTTACAGACTCAGCGATACATATAAATAATTCATATGGATACGATATTGAAACAATCCGCTTTCACGCGCCTTTTTCGGGTGTTTTCGGCTTAAGTAGAAGCGATTCCTTTCGGTGGCTGAAAACGGAACACGTCGTTGCTTTCACGTACAAATACTTTAAAATCCTACATTAAAATTTCATCACCGTATAAAGTTGTGTGAAGTACGCAGTGGTGTAATATAGATAATTCAGTGTTATATGGATAATCTATGAGAATACGCGCTATTGTTGAGTAAGGAACGAACGAACGACTTTGAAATTAGTTATATTTTATATTACATTATATTTATATATCTTCAACAACTTGAACCTTTGAAGTAAGAGCCGAGTTCCAAAGTCTTCAATACCTTCATCTATTTATTTTAATCGTCTTAATTCTACACACCGGTTCAGAAGACTTGACTCTTTCTCCCTGACATCTCTTGCTTCGTCCATTTTCGCTCGCGTCACGTATGCGTGACTATTCCAGAGACATCTTAACTCCACCTTGAGATAGCACAGAATCAAGATAGATTGTTTGTCCAATATAAAAATGATTTAACAAATATACATTAGTTCTGGGCTGTCCCAGTATCTTTATTTTGGTATAGAAAAAAGCTACAAAAACAAAGTTCAGTAGTTACTTTCATTTGTTTACAATACAAACAGAAGTTAATTTTGTTATTTTAATTGTTAATATGGGACCTATGTGGAATATATAAATTAATCCGTAATAATTTCATTTAACTAACACGCAATATCGTGATTATGACGATACATTAATGTGGCGTTACTTTGATTTGTGTAAAAGGTAAGGGCTATTGATAATTAGATGTG